GGGGTGTGTGTGTGTGTGGGGTGTGTGTGTGTGTGTATGTGCATGCGCGTGTGTGTGCCGGGCCCTGTGGGATGTGTGTGTGAGTGAGTGTGTGTGCCGGGCCCCACAGTGTGTGTGTGCGTTGCACGGCTGGCTGCAAGTGCCCGCATGGGCCCCTGCTGTGCGCGTACCAGGGCCGGCTGGGCGGGGCCGAGGGGCTCCCGGGCGGCACCTACCGCAGCAGCGACAGCTCCCCGAAGTGCTCGCCGGCTCGCAGCACCCGGATCTGCTCCTCCCGCCCGTGCACGCGCCTGCTGACCCGAACCTGCAGGGAGATGGGGGCTGGGGCATCGCTCCTGGGGGGCTGGAGGGGTAGGAGCAGGGGGCCCTGGGCTGGCAGAGGAGCCCAGTTTTGGGGGGGTTGGAGGGGCGGGGCAGGGGGCTCCTGGGCTGGCAGAGGAGCCCAGTTTGGGGGGTTGGAGGGGGCAGGGGGCCCAGGGCACAGCAGGGCAGGGGACTGGTACTGTTTACACCTGGGCTCTCTGACGGGCGCAGCACCCTGACCCCCAGGCTCCCCAGAGTCACCTACCAGCCCCCAAAGTGCCCCTGCTCCCCTGTGGCCGTGGAGCCGGGGGTGGGCTCTGGGCTGTTGGGGGGGGGAGCGGGTGGGGGGGTGGCGCAGGGCACATCGGGCTGCCCCGCTGGCTCCCCCGGAGGAAGGTGTGAGCGCGAGCTGCCCGGGCTGACTGCATGGAGGGGCTGCTGGGAGACAAGGCCCTGGGCTCATTAGCCCAGCTGAGCGGGGAACCGAACCCAGGCGTCCTGAGTGCCAGGTGGGGGCTGCAGCCCCTGCCCTGCTTCCCAAGAACCCTGGGAGGGGGTGAACTGTTGCCCCAACGGGAGGGGTCGTGCCCTGGCAGGGCGGGGCGGGGGAGGGGTCGTGCCCCAGGCAGGGTGGGGGAGGGGAGGGGTCGTGCCCCCAGCCAGGCTGGACCCACCTCTCCTCTCAGGATGATGTAGAAGTTATTCCCCTCGTCCCCTTCGCGAACAATCACCTCATCATGAGCGAATGTGCACTGCAGGACAGACACATGGACAGACCCGTCACTGCAGGACGGACACATGGACAGACCCGTCACTGCAGGATGGACACGCGGACAGGCCTGGCACCACAAGGTGGGACAGATGCCCTGGCG